CGGTTTAAATTAGTTTTAGAGGAAGGGAGGCAGGGAGGGAGGGTTTGGGAGGGGAAGAGAGAGAAAGGAAGAGAGAAAGAGACATCGATGTGAGAAACATGTACCGGTTGCCTAATGCAGGCACCCAGACCGGGAATCGAACCCACCACCTTTTGACAACTCTCCAACCAACTGAGCGATACCAGCCAGGACTAAAGTGGAAAAGCTCTTAAAACAAACAGCAATAAAAGGTCTGCTCCCTCAGGGCAGAGAACACAGGCCCAGCCTGGAAACAGCTATATAAGGAGGCCAGGCTAGGCCGGGACATGGGAAAGGCTCAGAGCAGCCAGCTCCACCTGCCCAGGGGACAGGCAGGGCTTCCCTACGGGCACAGCCCTCAGCCAAGCATGGGAGCCCAGGCCCTGCCAGCCCAGCCCTGGGCTGTCCGTGGTCTTGCTGTCACAGCTGGACAGGCCTCTGTACTTCCTGAATCTGAGAGCTCCATGCACACAGGGGACACTGAGGCCTGAAGAGGAAAGGATCTCACACAAGCCCAGAACCCAGACTTCCCAGGCCTCAGGCAGAGCTGTGGGAGGGACAAGGGGAGGGGGAGCAGCTCAGGAAGCAGACTGCCACTGGCCACAGGAGTCTTGATGTGGCTTTGTCTGTGAGGGATGCAGGATGGTGAGGAGGCAGAACTAGGGTGCAGGGGGAGGCGGCCCTCAAGGTCCCTGGCTCTTGCAGTCTTGGGGTCCTGAGGAGCCTCTCGCTGGCTTCTGTGGAAGGCAGGGGGAGGGGCAGCCCAGGCCCACCTGCTTCACTCTGTACACGTGGCCTGTTTTGTGCCCTGGGCCTCACAGACAAGGGGAAACTGAGCCTCAGAAGAGGGGAGATGGTCTGAGGTCACACAGATCAGCACCAGGTCTCCACGCCCCAGGCTCTTGCGAGGATGGGGCAGTGGCAATAGCACCTCAGGATCATAAGGACCCTCCCAAAGACATGGGGGGTACAGACCATGCCCACCCGCACGCAGGGGCCATGCCAGTTCCCAAGGATACTCTCCAAATGCCGGGGCTGCTTGGGCATCCTCTTTATTGGTGTTTCCCAGGGCCTAGCACAGAGGGCCTGGGCTGAGAGGCCAGAGTGAGGGGGAGGGTGGCAGTCCCAGAGGCAACAGGGGAGCAGGGGAGTGCTGGCATGAGAGTTCTTGGGAGACTCCTGTGTCTAGGTGTTGTCAGTGCCCAGGGGGTGGCGTGGCATGTACTTCTCAGCCAAAGACACTCTTGGCAGGCCCAGCTTTCGGCTTATCAAAGACGGTCTCAGTGCCGGTCCGGGTGCGGCTGAACACAGATGGTGCGGCAACGCCGGCTTGCTCTGCGGGCAGGATGGGGAGGTCAGAGGCCCAGCCCAGCCTCCTGGCGAGGGAAAGCCTCTATTGTGGGGAGCCTCTGAGCTTTGGATTCTTAGAAAAAGCTCCATAGGAGCCCCCATCCTACCCCCTCCTACTGACACACATCTGTACCCCCTCGGCCCCCAGTCCCCTGAGAACACTCACCACACTCCTGCATGACCTGGTAGGTCTTGGACTTGATCGCCTGGTTCTTGGTCAGGTTCCCTCGGGCCCCCTTCAGGTCCTCCTCCTTCACAGGGGGGCGCTTCTTCTTGATGGGGGCTCCCTCGGGGCCAGCCTTGGAGAGACCAGAGCCTCTTAGAACCCAGGCCTTCAGGCCGAGACCCCTTCGTTCCCACCTCTCCCTGCTCACTCAATTCAAGCCAGTCCAAGGCCCCATTCATCCAGGAAACCTTCCAGACGATGCCTCACCCCCTGACCCCCAACCCTGAGTCTCTCTGTCCTTTTCCACAGGCTGGGAGCCGTGGCCTCACACTGTCTGTCTGCCTGGCTGTCCAAGCTCGAGCTTGGGCACAGTGGGCAAAGGGGAAAGGCGCTCGCTCTGAGGCTGAATTCCAGGCTTTCGGTGAATGCCAAGACCTGCTCTCCGGGTGGTGGCAGGGGGTCCCTTAGGTTTGCCCCTCTCCTCCCAAACTGCCAGGATTTACCTTGCGGGCTCTGGGGTGGGAACGGGGTAGAGGAATCAGATGCCCATGAAGTCACATTCCCGTCAGCATCTACCCATGGAGCAGACTGGTCTGTCTGTCCCTCCAGAGCTGGGACACCCAGCCTCAGTGGGCAGAGCTGTGGGGGTGGGGCACTGAAGCCAGGGGACTGGTCAGCTCTGCAGGTGGGCATCCGCTCAGGGTCACCTCCAACATGACTTCCGAGGCTCCGAGATCCAAAGAAGGCTTGTCCTGGTGAGGGTCTTGACCCTCAAAAGGCTGTGATCAAACAAATGCACAGTGAAACTGAAGTGTAAGGAGGCCTGGGAGCAAACGGAGAGAGGCCCGATTAGCAAAGAGAAAGGTCCAGTGGGCCCAGAGCCCCCTGGGTGGGATGGTCATCAGCCACAGTGCTTCTCCTTGTGGCCTTCCTGCAGGAAGTATTCTGTGGGGGCACCTACCCACCAAACCTCTCTCCCAGCCAGAATCCTTTGGAATTGGTCCAAAAAGACAGGAGGTGTGACCAGCTGACAATACAGCTGCTTCTCTATAGCAGGTGAACTAAGTGAGTGGCTTTGAGAAACAGTCAAGCTCTCAAGCTCTTGAAAGAATTCAAGCAACTCTTAAACCTGCAGTGAGCACCTACCAAGTGCAAGGCATGAACAAAGCTCCCTGCCAGTAACTGCTGCCTCCAATGTGCCTTTCCAGGACAATGCTTTCACCCCTTTGATTCTAAAATGTCCGACCTGCACCCAGGCTCTGACCCCACAAAGACAGACGCCACAATGGTGGTGAAGAACCAACGACTTACCGTCACCAGGTGGGTGGGCTGCTCTCCTAGCCTCTCTGCCCTTGGCGTTGCCCATTATTGGTCCAAGCCTTCCTCCTGGTGTCACATGGGAAGGGGGTGAGCTTCCTGGGAGGTGTAGCCCTGCTGGATCCTAAAGG